AGAAAAGTATTGCTTTTCAAAGACAAAATTCCAAACCTATCGATAAACACATTTTTGTAAGTAACCGATTCGGTGTCTGTCGTAGAAACAACGGTAAATATTGCTTTATTTTTGGCCAATTTTGAGCCCTTAAAGTGCTTTAGCAACTTATGATTTGCAGATATAACTTTCATTTTCGCGATATAGGTTCTGTGTAGCAATAGAAATATTATTGTGTACAAATTTTATATAAACTCAACAAGTATTGAGCATTTTAAGGCAAAAAACTCTTGAAAAAATTTGCAAATTTTGTTTATTACGAAAATTTTCGAAAACCGCTCGAATTATTTTGTTTTTGTTTTCTTTAATCAAGTTTTTTCCTTTCGTTTGGTATATAGATGGTATTGGTTGATATCTTCTAAGTACGTTTATTTTATTCAAATATATGGGCATAAATGACTTTCCATACCAAATCACTGCATTATAATTTTGCAAACACATGCATGCGCCGAAATTGAGAGAAGAAGGCAAATGGTACGCATATGTAGGTATTTCGGCTTTTGGGTGCCAGATGGCACAATATTTATAACCTACTTGCAGCGTACGTACATATGTATGCTGATTGCAGTTAAAAAAGGGTTGCCACCTGATAAAAAAGTTAAATTCAAATTATTTTTAAGATATATCAATTATTACACCATGAGTATCGATCGAGATGGTTTTGAAAAGGATTTATTTCTTAATTACATGTAGGAGGGTTGCCACCAGTTTCAAAAAGCAAGTTCGACTTAAATACGGGCAGAAAATTGAAATCTATATCCTGATATGGATGGCAGAGGTTGTGGTTTGAAAATATTTTGCAGAGGGTTGTCAGTCGAAAAAGTTTTATGAATGGTTTGGTTTCATCCGAGGCTTTGTTTGTTTTCTTTACTGGAAGTGGTCTTTACGTGGGGGCTCTCAACCCCAGTGCAAGGTTTATTGCTGGAAGGGTGGTGGTTTCTTAACCGAATATACGTTAATATAGCGAGCCGCTTGCTCCAAGGCAGACGCCCGCTTTCAGCCGCACCTGCCGGTGAACAGACGCTGCAGACTGCCTCCGTATAAGTCGGATTGGCCACACTTCGAAATTCCCTTGCAAAAGTACTCTAGAGTTGTACGAGGAACTTTTTGACGTAGAATACGTCTTACCTTAAGGTATGGGGGCTATGTTCAAATGTTGTAGTTGTAATTTTTAGAGCTTCACAAAAACGCTTATTGCACGAGAACTAATAAAGCGATTTCAAAGAAAAGTGTGGCGTTTCAAAGATAAAATTCCAAACCTGTCGACAGATTCATTTTTGTA